GTAGTATTACATACTTTTTTGGGGGGGGGGCACGTGTGTTCATTTTTCTGAGGAGATGGTCCATAGTTCCCCAAATGTTAAGCCATCCTGATATGAAGAGTTGCTTTGTTTAGAAATAAAGCTAGTAATAAATTTTGCCTCCTTTTCTTAAAAAAAAGCTTCATCTATGTTAAGAAAAATGAAACACCCAGAACTTTTGCAAATAATGCACACCCCTGTTAGTAAGGGAGCCGCCCGAGAAGGCATCAAAGAGAATTACTGCTTTCCTCTCTACCCTTCCAGTTTGTTGATTTAATCCCTCTTGCCGCCAAGACAAGAATCTCCTTTATCACAATTCCAGAGCTTGGTGCAGTCTAGCTTTAAATGTCAAAGCAACTGAGTTTCCATCACTTTTATTAGGAAGCAGTCCTCCTCCTGGAATGTCCTGCTGTGAAACTGTAATCCGGAATCGAGGCTGGCTGTCCCCAGCTTCACCAAGGGCATAGGGAAATCCCAGACTGACGGGGGCACTGGCCACTTTGGCCTCTGGTAGCCCGTACCTTTCTACGTCTGGCGTCTCAGGCAGCTGGAGATGTGTGTTTGTGTGGGTGGAGGAGGTGGGTTCCGTGGCTGGACCAGAGAAATCACTCTGCCATACAGACAAGAGGTCCAGCGAGGGAGGAGCCACACCAGCAGCAGTGGTTCACCCTCAGCTCACTGAAGACCCTGCCTTTGGCTTCTGGGCCTCCTTGCAATGCTCAGTGGGACTTGGTGTCCACCCAAGCCAGCTCGTGGACTCACTGGGGTCCACTCCTGTCTCCTCTGAACCATTATTCCGTGACTCCATTGTGTCTCTATCAATCTAAAATGAGGTCCTGTGACAATGCTGAGCTCCACCTGGCCCTCTGCCCTGGAAAGCCCCGCCCTCAGGCGTTTCAGGACCATGAAGAAGCAGCTCTAGTGAAGAACCAGCTCTCCCCAAATGACTTAGAGAAGGCTGGGGAGGCTGTTATTGACCAAGGACAAGTCCAGACTCCTTTAGTGGTGTGTCTCATAAATGGCCAGTTAACTGTCTCTGTTGATGGATCTGGAACAAATTCCCACTAAATTGACTTGACCAACCCTGGGTGGGCTTCAGCCATCTCCCAGGCTCCTGAGCCTAGGCCCACTCTGGAGTGATGGACACTGGCCCAGGCCTGCGAGGGTGGCTGGCTGGTGACCAGGGGAGCAGTCCTGCCTGGCAGATGAGCACATTGCCCCTGTTCCACCCCTGCACGACCTGGGTCTTTCTCTCCTTGTCCCTCCTCCCTGCCAAGAAGACCAACTTCTACTTGCTCACAGAGTCCCTTGCTGACCAAAGGTTGGACTGTGCTCCCACGGGCAAGGCCCTGTCCCCTACTCAAAAATCTATACAAATAAAGTCCTTTACCCAGGTCTCTATTTCTTTCTCCTTGAGTGGAGCCTCCTGGGATTGAGTCCTAACCCTAGCTCAGTGATCTGAAGTTCCCTTTAGGAAAGAGACCAAACAATTCTCTTTGGGGTATTGCTGCTCTTTTATCAAATTTATTATTATTTTTTAAATTTTTGGAAACAAAAGCCTAGGTAGCCTCTTATCCACAGGAAATCCCGAAACCCCCTGAAGGGGTTTCTGAAGCTTCCTCTCCCTTCGAAGCTTCAGAAGCAAGCGTGTTGCATTTGGGGATCTTGTCTCATGGGCCCCCAGGCACCTGTAAGTGACGGCAGGGAAGGGGGTTCGGAGGCACTGCGACAGTAGTGTGGGATAAAGAGGAGTTGGAACATGGTGTGTTCAGGTAGGGACATAAAAGAGCTTGCTTCTCCCTCTTCAGTCTGCCCATGGAGCAGACTGGTTTTTGGAAAAATAATAATAAATGGACCTTATCAATAAGGGGTATTGAACCCTAATCTTGAAAATAGGAGTGTAGTGAAACAAGCCTGTGTCAGCTTTTCCTCGCTATGATGAACCCCTGAGAATAGCAACTTAGAGGAGGAAAGACTTATTTTTGCTCATGGGGTCCCAGGTTTGAGTCCAGGGTCTGCTGGATCATTGCTTTCGTTCTGTCAAGGGGCAGAAGCACCAGGATGGAAGGGCATGGCAGAGGAAAGGAGCAGGGAGAGAGCAGGGAGGGCACCCAGGACAAGAGGTTCCCTTCCTCCAGCTAGGCCACGCCTCCGACAGTCCCCTCCACCTCTCAGAGGTGCTGCCAATTATCAGAGCATCAAGGCGCCCATCACTGGTGAGATCACAGCCCCCATGATCCAGCCAGCTCCCAGAGCACCACCCCTGAACCCTGCTGCACTGGGGACACAGGAGCCTTGGGGGACACTCCAGACCCACCACCAAACCAGAATGACAGGGACCCAGGGACCTGAAGACTCTTGTTGGTAATGAAGGCAGCAGACTGTACCCATGAAGGAGGAGGAAGCAAGGAAGTGGAGATGAGGAGGCCCTGCCCACGTTCAGGAGTAAGGTGACCTGCAGTGACTGATGGGGCGGAACCACGTGAGGAGAGTCACCCCAGCAGGTTAGAACCGCTGAAGAGCAAGACAGGAAGTGTGTGAGCAAGTCTGCTCCTGTGGCTCATCCCAAGGAGGGGAAGGCAGACACTGCCTGGTCTTGGTGCACCTTCTGCATCCAGAGGGACTGAGGCTCCACCTCTGCCCGGCAGGATCCCATCTGTCCTTATTCCCTCTCCTGCTCAGTGACCTTCCCGGGTTCCTTCGCATACTTGCTGAGGTTGTAAGGAGTTCTGCCTGTTTCTGGAAACTCTGCCATAGCAATCCAAGAAGTTTGGGTCTGACTTGGTGACTGCATGAGGTTGAGAGTCCTTCAGGAGCGTTCAGGGTCTCTGTGCTGTGCGTGTGCTTTGCCTTCCGGAATGTTGCACTCCATGCTGAATCTCAATTTCACTCCTACCAAGGAGGGAGTTCAAGTTTAATCCATTCACAAGGGTTCCATCTCCTGACTGCCCCCACTGGTCCCCACCTCCCCACCAGCTGCATTGAGGGATTAAAATTCCAACATATGCATTTTAAGGGAATGTGCTCCGATCACACCATTATTCCCTAAAACTATCCATTCTGCTGCAATATGCACTTCTTTGATTGAAATTAACTCATACACATAGGAAAATAAATGCTTTTAGAAAGTTTGTTGTTTCATGTATGATTTTCCCTAATAATTGCAAGGGTGTTCAGTTGAGTTTTCTCCAGATTAAAGTGATAAAGGAAGATCTTAAGAACAAGAACCACCACAGCAAGAAGCACAATCCTGCCGAGACGTCCTCCTGGACTGAAGAAATGGTGATTCGGTGCTGGTTCTCCCTGTGTCGAACTGTCAGAGGAAACTGCAGGACAAGTGAAGACACCGCAGTGAGATCTCTCCTGTTGCAGCGCTAATTGATAGAGGTCACCCCTGTGTTGCATTTTTGATTTTGATGAAAGGTTTCTGTTTGGAACGAGTGTCCTCCAAGTCCTGCAGCTCCAAGGAGCTGCAAAGATGGCCCAGGGGTGGTTCCAGCTTCAGAGCCAGGGGAGAGGACTGACGCACAGTTGGGTTGTGGTTGATAGCAGGGCTCTGATCTCGCAGCCATCATGGGCTCAGGAGCACCTGCCCTGACTCCTGAGCTCTGCAGGGCCCAGCCCATCTCCCTGCAGATCATGGCACTGAACTAAAGGCGCGGGTGGTATTATGGGCCACACCTTGCCACCTCTTGGTACTGTGGACAACACAATTCCAACAAGACTCTACCTTTCAGTGTCTGTCCACAGACAGCCTTCAATATTTTAAGCAATCCAGCGGGATTCTGAGTTAAAGTGTTTGACCTTGTTGGGAGGCTACAAGGCTGTGTCCTGTGTCCCTTTCCTCATTTCTGTGCCTGAAGTGACAATACCAGTCCTCCTAGATCCCCTGAGCAAAGCAGGAGGGAGCTGGGAATGCCACCGAGGGCAGCGGGACAGCTGCAGCTTCCAGTCCCCTGCCCATTCCTCAGGCTCAGCCTGGAAGATCCCTCAGGTCCAAGATCATGCGCATCCTTTACCTCCTCCCAGGGGTTACGAAAGAAGAGGGGTTTTACAAAATACATATGATTTATATCTATCAATATTATTTTCTAGTTCATTACTGCTTTACTGCAGTTAAAAATGATTTTGGTTCAATGAAATGACCGGTCATGAGATGCGATTCTCAGGGACCAGACATGCCACTTGACATGTCTGGCAAAGCCCCTCTGTTAGAGATGGACACAGAGGTGCTCGGGCCTTGACGGGATGGAGCAGTTGGGCCATGGTGCTTTGGATTGTTGTTTATGTCCCTGCAGAATGCGTGTGTTGGTGCTCTCCCCTCTGGTGGGGCTCATTTGGAGATGGGAGCCTCTAAGAACATGATTGAGGTTGAGGTCCTAAGGATGGGGCTCTGATTCAATAGCATCAAGGGTCTTCAGAAGAGGCTCCAGAACTCTCTCCTCACAATGTAAACACACACTGTGAACCAAGAAGATGTCCTCACCAGGAGGCAGAAATGCTCAGTTGTGGACCTTGGACTTCCAGCCTCTAGAACCGTGAGAAAGTAAATCTCTGCCAACGCCTCTCAGTCCATGGTATCTCCTAATAGCCCAGCAAAAGGAGACACATGGGGGCAGCTGGGAACGAAGCTGTAATGGTGCAGAGATGCCCAAGCTGCATTCCTCCATCCTGGTGGGAATGTCTGCTTTCCTTGTAAATATTCTAATTGCTAGGCATTTGACTGATGAAAGCGCTATTTCAAATTCAGAAGGAGAGATGAATAATCATTAAAAATATAAATACCAAGTTACTCATAATCTTGCTTGTGAAATTCTCTTCCAAAGAATTTCTTTTGAAACTGGCCTTCTAATGTGTGTAATTCAAGAGTTTGTCTTTGACCAACTATAAATCAAAGTGCTGTGCTATTTCCAGAGGAATTTGCTGCCATGGAAACATGTGAGGTCATCAGGAGAGCCCCATTACTATGCAATGTGTGGAATGTGGGCTTACACTTCTTGCATGACAGGCAGACATGTCCAGGCTTGAATGGAAAGGGGTGATCTTGAATACGTAAATGTGAGTAGCAGGTATTCATTGCTAATTATTTCATTTTTATTTACTGATTCCTGAATTTCTGAATGGAGAGAATACCTAGGCATGTGGCTATTGAGCTAATGGCATTAAAACACTAATGTAGTATTGATTTAATGCAGGTTTCTCAAAGGTTAAATATCCATTGACTTTTGCATAAACAGCATGGAACAGAACAAAATGCCAAATGCCACTTGGTAAGACTCTTACTCTACAAATTTCTTTAACTCTGAGACTTTGGAAGAAGTATATTCAAATTTATTAACTACGTTGGCATGGCAAAACGCCTGTAACACCAACAAACCAAAGAGCCGATTCCACATCTTCTATCTGTCACTTCGTTCTCTGTTTATCAGATCTCCGTTTCTCAGTTGCAAGGGTTGCAGATTTTTTTTTTTCTCCTTTTGTGCCAATGAATTCAGAACTTTCTTCCTTTCTGTCTTGACATTTGGCCCACTGAGAAAATGCACAGAACCTTGAGACATCCACAGCCATCACCTCAGGAGCTATTTGTATGGCAGATGCCTAAAAATGTTGTGCTAGTTACTGTCTTAATTATCACAAGCAAACCCTTAAAGCTCGGAAGACAGCATTGCATGAAGCTCCAGAGAGCCTGGGGTGGAACAGCGAAGGAGTGAATCACCTTAAAGAGCTTGAGTCACAGCCTGCTCAGCTGCTCTGGGGCACTGAGCAAGGCTGGTGCTCAGAGGAGCTTACTTCCAGACCCAGCAGGATCCCAGCTGAGGCCTGAGAGGATCACCTGGCCCTGATCTGCTCGCCCAGCCTCACTCAGGGAGCCCGCTCAACTCTGGAGAGCTCATACCCATCTTTGCCCTTTGCAGTCACACTTTTGAAAGAGTCTCCAGATACTAATTTAATTTCCTTAAAAAGCAATCCCTTGCTTCCTCTGTCTTTTACTTAGGATTGCATCTGACAGATAGAAGCTCGGATATCAGATTATTATGTTGCAGCTTAGTTATTTGTCAAACTATATTTTTTCTTACCCTTCATATTACCTTTAAATTGTACTGTCTGGGGTGCAAGCAAAATAAAAACTCTGCATAAGAGGGAAGTTATGGAGAAAAAGAGGAATGTTTTAAAAGACAGAAATGTCACACCCATAGATCACAAAAATAATTCAATAGATTATTTGATACTCCTGTATGTGAGCATTTGTGTGTAGGGTGTGTGTGGGGGGGTATGTGTGCACATACTTGTTCATGGATGTGTTAATGCACATTCAACTTGCAGGAATCTTGGGCAGAAGGAACAGGCATAACGTGGATGGGTATTCTGTCACTGCCAAAAGATATTCAGCATGTTAGATTTTATTGTTAAGAATGGGTTCCAACAGTCTGACCATATATACATAATCTTGGAGTTCAAGGTTTCAGCATGGGATTGGCCCAGAAGGGGACATGTAGCAGAATCGGGATAAGTTCTATAATTTCTGAGTCTCAGAGCAAAGTATGTAGATCAATGAGGGGCTTAAAAGGGCATACGTGAGCACAGAAGTCCTTCTAAAACAGCCCCTTGCAGCCCCTCAGGCAGCAGGGACCTGAAATTGGTCCAGGACGGAGTTTGGTGGGCACTTAGAAGGAAATACCCAATGGGAAGGGTGAATGAAGGACTGTAGGGACTCTTCTTTATAAGATGCAAATGGCACAGTGCTCATGACCAGTCATTTGAATGCACAAAACATTTCTAAAAGCCACAAGCATCTTCATCCCAGTTTTAATCTCCCGCGTGTAACAGAGAAGGATCAAGAGGAGAAAGAACTTACTTAGCCAACTGTGCATGCAGGGCGTCACTCTGCCTCCCATTGAATTTCCACCCACACAACTGAAATCTAAAGGACTTTCTCATCAAATCGACAGTAACTATGGACCTTCCAGATACTGCTTCTGGAAATTATACCTGCTTTTAGCTCATTTTCACTTACTAAATTATTGACTGTCTAATCATATCTAATAATGTTCTGAGCTTAATCCACTGATTATGAAATGTGCCATTTATCATTTACATTTTGTATATAAATAAGATGCATTAATATAGCATTTTATTACAGTTATTTACACAGTTGATCTTCAGTGGCTTTAAATGGACTTATTACTGCTTTGACTTCTTAGGCATGTTTCTGAACCTTGATTAAATACCTAATGAGGAATTCATTTTCAATGCATCCCATAGATTTTAGGAAGTTTACTAAATACACACACAAACACACACACACACACACACACACACACTTGCACTAGATTATGCATTAAAATAGATCGATTTTCAACTTGTAAACAGATAATTAACGATAAAAATGGTTTCATTAACCACAGACACCCACATTGATGTGGGGGTGTGCAAACCCTTTCCTGCACTAATTTAGTCATGGGTGAACTGAGGAGCCAGGCCACCCATCTGCCCAGTTTGCTGGAAGGCCCTGCTGCTGTAGAAAGTCCCTCTTGCAGGACAGGAGAATCGATGGTCCATGGGGCCTGGAGGTGGTGCACCTGCATCCTGCAGGGAAGAGGCCATTTCTGGGCCTCACAGGGCTGTCCATGATAATGAGCCCATGGCTTCTCAGCTCTTCCCTGTCTGCGTGCCTTCATTATGGATTCACAATGCCCAGGCTAGCCTTCATCTTGACCCTCTACTGTCTTGTGCCTAGGTGAAGGGAACATTCTTGCCGTCACATACAGTAGAAAGGAGAGAGTTTTAAAAGTGCTCATGAGTTTGTGAGATTATGAACCCATCATCAGTTCCAGGATGAGTAACCTGAAGAGAGAGTGAACACCGGGTGACTATCCCGGAGGGTTCACCATGCACATTAGAGTCCAGGGGTTTCAGAGACTCATCAACAAATAACCCATGAGACTTTGTTAACATGGCATCTGCCAAATCCATTGACCAGGAGCCCTGCTCTGGCTTCGTACTTGTGAACACCCTCTGTGCACCCTTGACTGCGAGGGTGGGGCAGGGCTTTTGTTCCAGATACTGAGCAGTGGTGGAGAAGGCATGGCATTTGCTGCATGGGGTGGATGATTAGTTTCGACAGAGATGACTCAGAGTGTGACATCAGTGACAACTGACAGCCATTAGGGAAGCGTTTGGGAAACTCTTATTTTCAGTGGCCTCAAAGGAATGTGGACAGGGTTCTATTATTACTTAGGTCTGAACTGTCATGGCAACATTTCTGGGGATCCTAATTTCTATCACGATTTATTTTCAGATGTCAGAAGACCAAGAGATCACGGTGAAAAGCTGGTGGATAGGATGTTAGAAGGGAACAACAATAATGGAAAAGCTAGGGGAATGCTGCTCACGTGGGGCAAGCCTTTGAGCAAGCTCGATGGCCACATGCATTTGGGTTCTTGCTCACTCTCCCTGTGGCTGAGATGCAGGCTCTCCATGTTCATCTAAAAAACTGCACCAAGATGAAAATACCCAAAAACTGTACCAGAGACTTGGCTTATGCATTGTTTATGTTTCCACTCAAGAACTGTGTGTATCTCTGGGAGGATAGATTGCACACTTTGCCACTTCTGTAAGAAATCAAGTCTAGTGCTTGGTGAACCCTTACTGTGATCTAGATTGGTACCTCGGAGGTTTCAGAATAGCAAATGTCATTCTGAGCCGAAGATGGGCCTACTGGAGGAGCGGTCAACTGTGCTGACACCAGACATCCTGAATCAATTGTGGATTTATGCAACGAAGCGACAACAGGCATCAGGACTTTGCAACATCTCCAGGTAATTCCATACTGCATTCAGGTTGCAGCCCTGGCTTCAGAAACTCCCAGGGTTGGGTTTGCAGAGAATGAGCCCCAGGTCCAGATGAAAGGAGAGGGCTGTGGCTGCCTGCATATAGGTTCACTGTGCGCAGTAACAGTGAGGCTCCCCTGTGCAGCAGACTCTGGAGATGTGCCCTATGGCGCTGATTCCCCACAAGGTTCCCAACACCCCAATACCATAAGCCAGTTTTCCTGTCTTCATTTTCAGCCTTTCACCCAGTTTGGTAGCAGCAGGAAGACCCAGATTAATATTAGTCAGATGCAATTTAAAAGTACCTTTCTGGATGACCAGCTTATGGTTTGAAGAACAAATAGCTTAGATGTCATCACTCCCTTGGATGGGTGTTGCGTGCACACATACACACACAGAATGAGAATCAGTAAGTCTTCATCGATCATCAGCACTCCTGTGCACACATTCACACTCAGACACACAAATGCACAATCACACACACACACACACACACACACACACACACACACACATGCAAGCATGGTTGAACAATCTGAAAATCAGCAAATCTTCATAGATCATCAGAAGAATGAGGTCACAGGGCAAATCACCACCAGGGATACCCGAGAGGCAGGAGGATATGGGGACCCACCAGAGTGGAGCCCATTTGCAGGAGCTGAATGGCAACTGATATCAGCAGACTGAACATCCACTACATCATGAGATTAGAGACTGCAGGAGATTAGAAACCCCTTGCATGTGGCTTATAACTAGAAGCCCTGCCTAGTTGAGGTCTCAGGTGCTGAAAGACTGTGACCTAACCTCAATTGGCCCCGCCTCGGGACCGCCACTCCATCAGCAGTGATCCCCGGAAGTGACTGGAGCATCACAGAAGAGACGTGATGGAGCCCCGAGGGAGACCCAAAGACAACAGGGAGAAGAGGACAAGGACCGTGGAGCCACTCTCAAGCCCTGACAGCTCCAGCTCCAGCAGACGAGTCACAGCCCATCTCGCCCAGGTACAAGAAGCTTGTCTCAGGAAGACCAAGCCTCAGCCCTTTCTCCGCAGCACTTCACGTTGCACTTCATCACAAATTACAAAGCATCCTAAAAGAAAAAACACAAAGCATCCTCGACATCAGACTGGGATATGACTTCTGGACTCACCAGACCAGGCACTTCTTGAATCTCCACGACAGGGCGCTACTGCGAAGCGGACAGCATCCAGGGAGAGCGGAATTTTCAGCAGAGACAGACTCCAAGCCTGGATGCAGCGCAGTGCAGGGCTCCAGCTTGCTCTAAAATGCAGGCTGGCTGCTGGGTGTCCTAGGCGGCCGCCGAGGCCAGGCAAGTAGCACGACCAGGTGGCCTGGTGAGAGCAGACACACCCCAGGATCCTGGGAGCCAGGGCCCAGGTGTCTGCTGCGCGGCTCTCCCGGGGGCCTCTCTCCTTGGCTTGTGGATGGCCGCCTCCCCTTCTGTGTCTCCCGATCCTCCCTGTGTGAGCCTGTGCCCCCCTCTCCTCTTCTGATGAGTGCTCAGTTATATCGAATCAACATGGTCTAATGGCACAACGTTGCCCATACAAACAGTGATTCTGTATCCGAATTTCCTGAGGAATTGCAAGATTTTGTGTTCTTTCCCTGTAAGATGCAAACGATTTCAGAAAGTCTCATTCGCTGTACCTCCAGACTTCTGTCTGTGCCATTGTTTTACCTGGTGCTTGGGAAAGTTGAGACTTCGCCCTCCCTTGTCTTCCAAAGGATCAGATTTTTAAACACTGCCACCCCACCGCTATGGGTTACTGGTTCCTTCCCATGACATCAGTTCAGCTTCCCAAGCCTCTCCGCCCTCGGGGTTCTCACCCGCACCCTTTCATTTCCACGATTGCAGGATTGTGCTCAAGTCACCTGGGCTTTGCCAGCTCACCTTTTAATTTTATTTATTAAGTTTCATTTTCCCCCTGATGCATCTGAAGCCGTGTATCTCTTTTTTGAGACTTTCTAATGTTTGCCGAAGAGTTCCTTTCACGAATCATCATTTTTATAATTTCTCTTATATTTCTTTTGAAAATAAACTTTGGACAGAATCCTGTCTGCTTTTTCCCTAGGAGTATTTTCTCCTTTATTTATTTATGCACTGATGGGTGTGGTTATCTCTCAGCGCCATGGATAGGTCTCCAAGGGTTTCCTCTGTGCCCACTTCTCATTTTTGCATGACTTGAGTGGAAGCACTGAGGTCCACTCAGAACACAGGCACAGGGAGCGCTGTCAACACATGCACAGCGTCGACCTGGGCGATTCACTAATAATTTATATGAAATGTCTAGTAGTTGTTGACATGAACGAAAATCTCCTTAGGACTTGGCATTAAAGAAATTGGCAAAGTTTACAGCCAAACCCCTGGAGGAAGATGCTGATATCTCAGAATTGGAAACTGCTGGTGGAACAAGTTCTCCATGTCCACCCCCCACACCTCCCTGACCCCATCCAAACAAAATCTACACAGATTGCTTTTGTGGTCCTTAAAGACCACAATGACGATTTCTAACCAACAACCATCAATTTTAGGATTCGGGCCCTTAGTTCTAAGAAAACTTGTGCATTCTCCCTGAGGTTTGAAGATGTGTATGCTGTCTCAGAGTTATTTTCCTGGGGCCCACATTTCCTAGCATTGGAAGGCAGACATCAGAGTTGTGAGCTGTGGCCCGTTCCTTCCTCACCGAAGACAGAAAACTTTTTTTTTTTTTCTGTTGTTCTGTGTATTTTGATCTTCTCAGTTTGGAAGGGGTGTTATGAAGTTTTTGAGAAAATAACCAAAAATCATCTTCTGCTATTTAAAAATACTACCTTCTTTTGACATTTTTACTTCTTTGCTCTAATTTTGCTTGTGATTAACCTATTTGTGAATTAATGCAATACTTTTCTAACAGGGCCTCCCCTGTCTATACTCTTTCCTCATTTATGACTCATACACTCAGTTCTGCCTTAAGTTGTATAAATACTGCCCAGTGCAGGGGTTTGTGGGAGCCATGACTTAACATCTGTTCCACATATACATACAGAGAAACTACTGAAATGACACCAAGAAATACCTGAGAATAAAAGGAAAAGTTTCTCTGTTCACAAAATAATATAAAAAGTCAATAAGAAGTAAACACAGATGGATAAGTTAAGGCGGCATCAACGAGAGGAAGAAGAAAATGAGTGAGAGGAGGATGGAGAGGGGTGTGAGCATGGACCTCTGAGCCTGCAGGGAAGAGTCCAGGCAGTTGGCCTGTGAGGAAGGGGCTTCTGGACAGAGGGGGCGATGGCTCAAGTGGTGGAGGACCTGGGTGAGAACAGGGGTGATGAGAGGGGAAGAACAGAGCGTGCGGGACCTTGCAGGTCAGTGAGGACAGAGAGCGCATGCCTTCTTCGCACGCCCCAGAGACTCAGAGCTAGAGGCCCAGGGTGGACAGGAAGGCTTTGAGGATCAGAGAGCTCTCGTCCTTCTACCCACCTCCTCCCACTGCTGGGTAAACTTGAAGCCCAAAGGCTTCCCCACTCATGGGCCACTCTGTGAGGCCCCGGCGTTCCGAGCGTTGCTTCGTCCTAGGGGAACAAGTTTCCCCGGTGAAGACGGGGCTGGGGAGTTGGCTTTGGTGTGGGAGGGCAGGGAATGGATGTCCCTTGATTTACCATGTCCTGGTTTAGCAGGACGACATTCTCTACCCTGTGGGCTCTTGTTCTTTCTCCCCAAAGTGATGCTGGGCAATGGAGGGAAGAACCCTGGGCTTGGACACAGACCCAGGGACACGTTTCTGCCATTTCTCTGAAGAGCTGCATGGCATGGCCAGCACCTTAAATGACTTGGGTCTCAGTTGTCCTGCTGGAGAACAGGAATTAACTCTCATCTCAGAGGCTGGGTGGTTAAGTGAGGCATTGCTATGGGTTAGACATGAGGTGTCCCCCAAAATATCATGTGTGAGACAATGCAAGAAAGTTTGCAGGTGAAGTGCTTGGATCAGGGTATCCTTAACCCAGTCAGTGCATTGTTCATGACGTAGATCAGCTGAGCAGTAACGTAGGCAGGCTGGCTGTGGCTGGAAGGAGTAGGTCCCTGGGAATGTGCCATCGGGGTTTATCTTTAATTCCTAGAGAGCAGAGGTGTGTCTGTCTGTCTCTCCCTTTCTCTCCTTCCTGGCCCTCATGACCCGAGCTGCTTTCCTCTGCCATTCCCTCCTGCCATGACGCTCTGCCTCACCTTGGACCCAGGGCTATGGAGTCAGCCAGCCAACCACAGACGGAGAACTCTGGAACCATGTTGCTCTTTTTAGGTCTTCTGCTTACAGTGGCAAAAATGCTGACTAAGACAGGCTTCAGGGAAGGAAATCATCTGTAAAAGGCCGAAGGTAGAGACGGGGTGGAACCTAGTGCAGTTGGTTCCTCTCTAAGTTTTGAAGGTGCCAGTGGCCGGAACTGGGTTGCTTCATGGACTTTGGGCCAGGTTGAAAGGGAATCTTGGGCAGACCTTAGGTCCTATCAATCGCATTGGCTGGGATGGAGATTCACTGAACCTATCACGTGTCCTGGCTTGCCAGGGTGTCTCTTTAGATGACTATTAGATGTCACTGTGGAGGTGTCTGAATTATTATTTAGGGTGGAGGTGGGATGTTAAAATGTAAAATTGGGGAGTTGTTTATCTAATGGTGGTATTTAACCCTTAGTAATGGGCCTGGGTTTACACAGTGTGTTAGTAGGGATCACACAGAGAAACGAGTACTAAATACTTTAGTACTTAGGGCTAGGGAGAGGCAAAGTATATTATAAGGGTTTTAAGGAACCAGCCATGAGATAGGAAGAAAATCTACAATACGTGACTTCCCAGTACCATGTCAGAACATGTTTAAACTCAAACAACACGTAACCACCCACGTCAGAATAAAATGAAAACAAAATTGATCATTGGATTGACAGCGTGTCATTGACTGATGACTTTGGACAAGGTGTTTTTTATGCAATTAT